TGGTCATGAGGCATAGGTTGACTACTTCATCTTCATCATTGGAATCATCTTCATCACTCTAAGATGCAACAAATGCCTTCTTCCCCTTTTTATTTAGAAGAGGACATTCATACATGATATGCCCCTTTCTTTGACAATCGAAACATACCGGGGGACTCTTCTTCTTGGTTGATTCATGTTTCACTTCCTTGGAAATCATGAATCTCTTGAGTTCCTTCAAGAGCTTGACCATCTCTTCTTTTTGTTCATCATCGTCTTCATCCACCTCATCACTTGAATCTTGATAGCTTTCATTGATGCCTACGTCCTCATTCTTCTTATTCTTCTTGTTTTTCTTCTCTTCCCTTTCTTCATCTTTCTTCACCATCATCTCATGAGTGAGAAGGGAACCAATTAGCTCGTTGAGAGTGAGAGACTTTAGGTTTCTTGCTTCGATAATGACCATCTTCTTTGATTTCCACTCCTTTAGAAGAGAGTAAATCATTTTCCTCACAAGCTTCTCATTTGGGATTACTTCTTCATATCCCTTGAGACCATTGACAATCACGGAAAATCTATCCGTCATAGCTTTGATGTCTTTATCGGGTTTCATCTTAAAGTTCTTGTAGCTATAGTTGAGAAGACTTTTCTTTGATTCCCTCACTTCGTCAGTTCCTTCATGAGTGACTTGGAGCTTATCCCAAATCTCTTTGGCACTGGAACAAGATGAGACTCTTCCATATTCATTTGGGCCTAAAGTACAAAATAGAATATGTATAGCCTTAGAATTAAGCTGAAAATTTTTCTGCTCTTCTCTACTCCAATCGTTGTACTTGTCGGGTGGAGAGGAGTAACCGTCCATGATTGAGTACCAAGCTCCTAGATTCTATGATTGAATGAAGTACATCATCTTATTCTTCCAATGTTCATAATTTTCTCCATTGAAGAAGGGTGGCTTGTTGACCGGTTATGAATCCATAATAGGATATTCTTCAAGATAATAAGCACCGAAGGAAAAAGTCATTTCTTTGTCGGTTGCGTCGGGAATTTGTAGAGCTTCTTCTAGGATCGTCTCAAGGTGGTTAAGCCTTCTTAACGAGTTAGGCTCTGATGCCAATTGTTAGGATTTTCGGAAGCTCGAATCGATAACCGGAACGGTTTACAAAGAGGGGTCGGAACGGTTTTGTGTTTAGGGAGTAAGGATATTACCAGATAGAGAATTGCACATCGATTTATAGTGGTTCGAATTTCTCAACCAAATTCTACGTCCACTACCTTAGCTCCTCACCAAGGATTTTCCAACAAATTCACTAATTTGTTCTTTCTTTTGAGGATAAAGAGTAACCTTACAAACTCCCTAGTTTTTCCGAGCTAAACTAGAACCTTTCCCTAGCTTTTACACGGGATTAGCTATATCATTTCCCCTTTACAAAAGGATAAGAAATGTAAACAAGAAAACGTCTCTAAGGTAGGTGTTTACAAGATTGAGCTCACAAGAAAAAATATTTACAAGAGAAAGATGAAATAAGATTGAAAAATTCTTCTCTTGTGTTTGATTGCTTGGATAGTTGTTCTCTTGCTTCTTCAAGTGTCCTTAGGTTGTATTTATAGCTTGGAATGTGTTTGAAGTCGTATATTTCCGTTAGGGATGTTTTGGAGCCGTTTGAAGATGAGAAACAATTAATAAAACAACTTGGAGCGTGGGGGGAATCGATACCCCCTCATGGGGAATCAGTTTCCTAAGTGCAATATGTTTTCGACCGTTAGACATGGGGGAATCGGTACCCCTTATGGGGGGAATCTGTTACCCCTGAAGGGGAATCGGTACCCCCTAGGGGGAATCGGTACCCCCTGGGGGGAATCTGTTCCCCCTGAGGGGGAATCTGTACCCCTGGACAATCTGATTTTTCTTAAAACCCTTTAAAAAGAAAATATTTTTGGCTCAATTATGGCTTGAAATACTTTGTAAAATTGTTTTAAAATATTTTAAGTATAAAACACAATTTTACACTTTAGTAAGGATTAAAATGAACTTTGAAAGACTTGGAGTAATATTTTGATATTCGAATAATTACAACGAATATACTTAGAAAATCTTTTGTAAAATCTTAAAATTCATTTAACTTAATTTGTTATATCAAAACATCAAAATGTTTTCAACAATCATGTTTGCCTTTTCATTGCGATTAGGAGGGCTCGTTAGGACATTATCCATTGATTTTCCACATATCCATCCACGCCATCAATCATCTTTATCATTCACTTTCATAAGAGATATCTTTTGATTTCTTGCACCAAAAAGAAACCCTAAAGAACCCTAGCTATTGCCTCCACCTTCCCCATTCATCTCTTATTGTTCTTCATCGAGTCTAGATCTTTTCTAGGTTTGATTCTTCAACAAGAGCAACGCTCATCAATCCGCCACCGCTTCCCTATCATAACACTTCACTATCCCTCATAATTCACTATAATTCTTGAATCAAAGAATTTCATCAAATTTTCCATGTGTTCTTAATTCAATTCTATCACCTCTAACTTCTTAATTAACCATTTGACAAGTCAAATTTAACCTCCAACTTCAATTACTAACTTTTTCCCAAGATTTCAATTTGAAACCTCTTATTTTCAATCTCTCATAACTTGATAATCTTTGAGTTTTAATCCATCTTAAGCTTTCCTTAATCTTTTCTATCACTCTAAGAATCAAAACCAACTTTAAAACAAAAGAATTAATCAACTTGGAACCAACTTACCTTTGCCATGGAGCTTACGAGAAGAGAAGAGGAAGAAGATAAAACAATCTCCAGAATTTTCTTTCCTTTCTCTTTATTACCACGTGTTGCTCTCCAATATAAAGGGAGAAATAAAATCCTTCCTTATAAAAGACCATTTTACCCTTATTACTTTCAACTTTGTTATTAAATCCAACATCAACACTTTTCATTTAAATCCCTAAACTTTTAATATTTTATGAGATTGGTCACTAAATTTTAGAATCTTTCAATTTAGTCACTAACCCCGATTTTGGGATATTACATTCCCAATAGTTTAAAATTACAACAATTTATATTTGTCTTTTAAAGGTTTGTTAAGGATAAAGAATTAAACAAATTATTTGTTTAAATAAATTATTAAAAAATTAAATAAATTATTCACGACTAATAATTTTCAAATAAATTTTGGTTGGATTAACGGTTAAAGAAAAAATTTCGATTAATTCAGTTCGGTTAATCGAACCAAACTTTATTTGAATATTATTAACCAAATCGAATTAATTTAAAAATTATTAATCGAACTGAATTAATCGAATTTAAAAAAAATATTAACCGAATTAATTGAAGCAAAAATTCGGTTAATTTTGTTCGATTAATCGAACCAAAATTTATTTAAAATTATTAACCGAACCAAATTAATTTGAAAATTATAAACGAACAAAATTAACCGATATTTTTTGAAAACTATTAACTGAATTAATCGAAGCAAAAAATTCGGTTAATTCGGTTCGGTTAATTTGAAAATTATTAACCGAATCGAATTAACTTTTTTTTAATTATTAATCGGAGCAAAAATTCAGTTAATTCGGTTAGGTTAATTGAACCAAAATTTATTTGAAAATTATTAATCGAACCAAATTAATTTGAAAATTATTAACCAAATTTTTTTTGAAAATTATTAACTGAACCGAACAAATTTCGGTTAATTCGGTCAATTTTTGAATTAACGATTTTTAAAAAAATCTAATTTATATAAAAATTAAATATTTTTAATTCAAAAAAATAGTTTACAATTAATTTAAATAATAATTTATTTAAACGAATAATTTGTTTAATTATTTTATCATTAACAAACGTTTATAAGTTAAATATAAATTGTTGTAACTTTAAACTATTGGGGACTTTTGACCCAATGGTTTGGGTGCCTGCTCTATCCCTCCCTCCTCCCCTGCGAGACCCTGATTCAATTCCATTGGAGCGTAACTTTGTCCCTTTAATTTTCACTTCCATTGGGTGATGACACGTGTCACCATCTGATTAGATAGAAAAATTATTTAATTAAATAATTTAAAATTCATAAATAAAACTTCCAATCATATATTAATACATGTCACATTCTAATTAGATAGTTAATTTTATTTAGTTGAATTAAAATAGTGATTAAATTGATAGAATATGTAAATATTAAGGACTAAATATATAATTATGCCAATTAAGCTTAACGGACAAGTCACCGCCTCTATTAAAAATTAATGGTAGGTGGTTTAATTGAATCAATTAAATAATTGGATAATTTAATTGATTTAATTAAAAATTTAGTAATTACATTGATTTTTAATTATAATTTAGTGGTTTCGTATAGTTTAACCATTAATATGTTACTTTTAATGTAATATATATATATATATATATTTGATATAATCATTAAACGTGTCGCTTTACTAATGTCTTAAAAGAAGAGATACTTGTCCTAAGTCCAAATATCTAAAAAGTAATGTCAGGTTTCCTTTCCATTTTTCAGTTCCAAAAATGTGAAAAATGCGGTTTGAAAGCTACACTTAAAACGACGGTGTTTGAGACTTGAGAATTCGAATCTTATAGCTTTAACTTTGATTTTAAATAATTGAAAAACTGGCCATTTGTCCAAAACGTATGACTAACGATAGGAAAATAAGCACACATGCACTGATGCCGATCTAAAACGCTGCCCGAGGCTCAAGCTCACTAACAAAATATTTCATTGTTTATTTGCATAAACATTTTGACATGTTTAATGGGAAAATGAAATAATCATCTTCAAATCTAATTAAGATGAACAAATATTATAAATTTCTAAGCCGCTAACAAGATATATATATATATATATATATGTTAAGGTTAAATAAGTAAATATTTGAATACTTTAAAATAAACTATTTAAATCTATTAATGTACAATAAAAAAAAAAGAAAATAACTATGTTTAGATAAATTTATTTATATTATGAACAACAATGGTTTTTTTATGCTCTTAGTACATATATTTTACTGAGTAATTCATTTCTTAACCCAAAAGAGAGGAATACAAACCCCGATGCCCTAAAGGGTTTTTTTTTTTCAAATAAAAATTAGATAATAAAAATATGTTTTTTTCTTTCAAGAACCAGTGACCGATTCAGCAAGTTTTCCGATTTTTTCTACGAGCTCCGGGGATAATTTCTTCGCAGGTTTCCTTTCCTTCCCCAGTCGAAAATCAAACCCTAACGCATCCGAAACTTCTTCGGAGCTCCACCCGGCTTTTCGAAGTGTATCCGAGAACCGATCCACTTTTAAAAGTAGTGCATCGAGAACCGCTTGATTATCCAATAAAACCATCTCTCCTTCGAAGAACCCGAATGCCGACACGTGTATGATCTCCGCTATGTCGGACTCACCCCACCCGCCTTCTCGAAGAACCGATCCCATTTGCCCTATGTATTCGTCGACCCATTTGGGAGTTTGGATTCTCGTCATTTCCAAGTATCTATCGGGCGACGAATTCGACGATGATGATGACGAGTTCCGGCGCCGATCAAATGCCGCGTCACTCCAGAACTCGACCCATCTAGGTGTCCTCCTACCGGTCACCAAATCCGAATCCAAACTCCGCCTTGAGAAATTAGTAGACGGCCCAACTGAATTTTCGCTCAGAGATCTCTGTTTTTCCAACACTTTCGGGTCGAATTCGGAGCTCTTAAACAGAGATTCCCTCCCGAAAAAATTAGATATATCGAAACCGCAACAGAAAACACGATTCTCGTCGATGAAGAAAATCGGGTTACCCGCTAAAGACGGGTTACAGGGAATATAGCAGTGGTTAAAAACGGGGATCAAAAGAGGAGCTCTTTTAAGCGCATTTCTTGCTACTCGTAAAGCTTTCCCCGGATCGGACGGTCTCGGCCCCCAATATTTAGACCATAAAGTGTTACGCGCAATCTGAAAGGAAATTGCAGCGATAGGAAGGTCAAGTGAAGCCCGGAGATGGAGCCGTGCCCCCGCAGATCGCCAATCGGGAAAACCTGGACCCACGGGTAACCCGGCTGATAATATGGCTCGGAGGTCAGGCGGGAAAACGAAACCAAACTCAGCTTCCGCTCGGGCGAACTCGGCGTCCGATAAACCCGGCTGGACTTGAAAGCCGAAATCCCGTAAATGGGTTATAACTTTATCAGCTAAAGAAGAGAAAGACTGAAGACCGTTGCAAACAGGGAGGGAGGCCGGAGTTGAAGGAGCAGAAGCACGAGCAGAGAGACGGCGTAAGCCAGCTATATGACCCGGATTCAGACCGGACATCCTCCGGTCAACATCGACCATTGTTGCTCTAATAAATAACGTAGTCCTCTTTTAATTCCCCGTAGAAATAAAAGAAAAATTCCGTAAGAAAAAAAGGTTTCCGACGACTTTCTTTTGTCTGTAAACAGAGAGCAAAAGAGAAGCCGAGTGGGGATATCTTGATTTTTGGGGGTAGAGAACTTTAATTAGTAAAGAAACGGTGGTATTTATAGCTGTTTTGAGTTGCTGCAAATATTTTATTTAAATTTTTTGGTATACTTTTTACTTGGCATATTACTAAAGTTAGCCCCCAAAATGTATTAAAACTATCATTTTGGCTCCTATTTTTCTTTGTAGTATTTTGATTTTAACGTTTTATTTTATGACCAAAAAACTCATAATATTTAATTGAATTGTCACTTTAGATCTTATTCTTTTTTTAAACATTTTCCCTCAACGTTTTATTTTAAAATAAAAATATTCCTATTTTGGAGCATTAACATTTCGTTAACTAATGGGTTCCATCATATAGAAACCTTTTTGCTTCAAAATGACAAGTTAAAGGCTAAAATACTTTAAAAAATGAATATGGGTCAAAGTGACAATTTAATCAAATTTTAGAGATTTTTTTGACATTATGCCTTTTATTTTACTTAAACAACCTTTGATACATTTTAGAGGAAATTATAAGATTCATCATTCAACTTTTTACTCACCCTTATATTGATTACTAAAGTTTTATAAATTTTAATTGAATCACTAGATTTTTAAATTGTATACATTTTGTACACTAGACCATTGATCTCTCTATTTTTATACGGACTTTTTAAATTAATTTGTAAGCACATAGGCACCAATTTAGATTCTAACCTTTGCTAATCGCGATCTATCATCATATCGATTGTTATCATGATGGTTAGAGCAAGCAAAATTCAATTTAATTTAAAGAAATATTTTTTTATTTCGAGTTATTTAAGTTGAACTATTTTATCTCAATATGTTATATAAGTTTGTGGAGTTTCTATGATAAATTAAATCGTCGGACTGGTAGAGGAAGAAAAGAGGATTCAAGCGACACTATTGTTGGTCTAAAGTGAAATTGGACGGTGATCGTTCAACTGCTTGAAATTTTCAAATGTCAGATTCATGAAGTTTGAGGTATTTTCGATTACAAAAAATATGAGATTTATATTCACAAGGGCGAAACGAGTTTGATGAGAAAATTTGGGGCTCGTTGTCCATTATCAATGATAATGGATGATGGTTAAATCAATGGTTGAATCCAAGACAGATTGTGAGAAAAAGAGATGGTGAAATAATAATAAGAAAATAAAAAAATAGAAAATAAAGGAAAAACAATGAGAACTAGTTTGTATATGGATCCAAAATAAGGTTGTTCTAGTGTTGTCTACTATGTTATAACATCATTAATTATTTAATGATAGAGTAATAAAAAATTGACAATTTGAAAATTTAATTATTAAATTAAAATTTTATAATTTGAATGATGAAAATAAGAATAAAAATAAATTTAAATAATAAAAAATACATATTTTAAAAAAATTAAATAGTAAAAAATATATGTTTTTAACAAGGATCTTGATAATGATAGGTGAAGATGTACCGAAGTAAGGTAAGAAAGCTTTTGCCTTACCGAATCCAATTCCAAATCCAATGTTAAGCAACGGCTCTTTTTAGTTTGTGAATATACTCTGTTCGAAAAAGAAACAAAACTTAACATTTACTTTAAAAAATACAAATTTTATTTATAATTTTTAACTAAGATTTTTTTTAACTAAGATTTTTCTATATTTATTAAATTAAAATTTCTTGCCCAATTTAAAAGTAAAATTTCCAATATTATCTTTAATCCAAGCTTATCGATTTTAAAGTTTTATGTGCTCAACCCAATAAAATATGAATTAGATGTTGGAGCATTGTTGTGTAATATTATTAGGAGTAAAAATTGTTATAGGCGTGGGGACAAAATGCACTATCTGGGAGACAAATTACGCTTAGAAATAGACTGGGTTAACCTTTATAGAATTCCTTAGTCTAATCAAGCAGGGCTGAAGAGATCAAAGAAAATATCGGGTTCAATTAACTTACGGTGACACGTATGCATTAGGCGCTATACGGCGAATTTGGGGGACCCATTGCCGATGATGAATTAGGCCTACAATCATAATTCCTAACGTTATTCAGCCATCTCTTTTTTTATTATGTCCTTTCCCTTTTTCTCAATATTTATAATAAAAGTTTGCTTACAAGTTTTCTTTCCATATATTTTTAAAAAAATATCAGAAAATAATATATTTTCCACACAATATATAATTACTTTTGATTTAAATGTAATCTATATACATTTTATAAATAACGTTATTTAAATTAAAATTATTTGAAATTAATATAACTTCTTTTACGTAAATTCTTTTATTACGAATAATTGTTCTTGTTTCAATCTGAAGTTTATTTATTTTTACTAAGAATACATTTTATTTTCTTGTGTTTAGAATAAAAATTGCAGTGGCTAGAAATTACAATACTTTCCACCGGTAAAGATTAGTATACATTTAATAGTGTAAGAGTTTCTTTTAAAAGAATACCCTAATCATTGGTTAAGACAAGTGGAATGCACATTTACAGTATTCATTAACTTCTCCTTAAGTGTCGCGAGTAGCCGAGGAGGAGCCCTATCAAAAGTTAAAGAGAAAAAAAGAGGGAAAATTACTTTTTTTTATATATAAAATTAATTTAAATAATTACGTTCGTAAAATATATATTTATTGTCATAAAAAATTAAATATGTAATACTTTATAATCTTTTTATTCTATTAAAAATTTAAATAATATATTTAAAGTTCTTATAAATAAAAATCTTACGTATTTTTAGTAATTAAAAAAGCTTGATAGAAATAGGGATGATAAAAAAATTTGAATCCGACGGGGAAAATCGAAAATTGAATTAAACGGAGACGGGGAAAAATCGTTTATGTTAAACGGGGACGGTTTTATTAATCCCCGTCCCGATTACCCGACCCGATAAATATTAAAAATAATTATTATATATATATAATATTAATAAATTTAAATTAAATTAAAAAATATATATAATATTTATATATTTAATTTAAATATATATACCCGACCCGATACCTGGCCCGATACCCGTTTAAATAACCGTTTATGCTAAACGGGGATACTCGTTTCCCCACGGTTTTCTCCGATTACCCGATGGAGATCCCCGTTTAAATCCCCACGATTTTTTAAACGGAGACGGGTACGAGTTTTTTAAACGGGGACAGGGGACCAATACCCGACCCGAACCCGGCCCGTTGCCATCCCTAGGTAGAAATCACGAGCCACCCGGGCTTGAACCAATAATATGGTTGAGAAGCAACGAAAACTGTGGATGGGAAAATAAACCCAGAGTTTTCCAGAATATTGAAAACACATAATTAGATTGGGGTGGCAGCAATAAATTAACCCTCACTTTTAGGTAAATTACTATAATCAAGTCCCTCCTTTTATCATACAAATCAAAGCTCCAGTGCTTAAATAAAATCTTGATTTTAGTCATTTTAAAGAGCATCTTAAATTGTTCCTAACCTTTTATACTACTGAATTAACAAAATTTTAAAAATAAATAATGCACTATATTTTTAAATTTATAATTATAAAACAATATTTCATATTTTATCTATATTCAAACGCAGTATAAATTTAAATATTTTAATAAAATAATATTCTATTTTATCATTGAAGTCACTCAATAAGATAATATCAATATCTAAATTAAAATAATTATAAACAACATTTGTATATAATAACATTTAAATTAAGACGAATTTACATTGAAAATTGAGATATAAAGCTAATTAACATGTGATGGATGGTCTTTGTTTTTATTTATTTATTTGGTTAGATTATTGCCTAAAGTTGTGAATGGTCAACGTCTGATATATATAGCTAGAGTTTAGGGTAAATATGTTTATAAGCTTAATTTGATATCTTCATCTTAATCACACATGGTCAGGTCACCTTATTAATGGCAAACGTCAACTTGCAAAAGCTATCTCTTTGGAAATACTTCGAAAGTACTCAAACGGAAGCTTTGTGGGGTTACTGCCAACTGTCAGGTGCGCACGGCCCATGCAAAATTTATTAGGGTAAATTACAAATTTCATCATTGAACTTTATTCTCTCTTATTTTACTTACTAAACTTTAAAAGTTTTTAATTTCTTCACTTAATATGTTGGGTTTTTCCTATCATTGAACTTTATTCTCTTTCCTATTTTGGTCACTCCGTCGTTAAATAGTTAATGACGTTAAAAACGATGTCGTTTAAGAAAAATAAAATTTTCACTAAAACGACATCGTTTTGCATTTATATAACAACATATTTTAATGCCTTTAAAGGCTGAGTGATGAAAAATCCTAATGTATTAAGTTTAGTGAGGAAATTAAAAAGATTTAAAGTATAGTGAGTGAAATAGGAGAGAGAGTAAAGTTCAGTTATAAAATTTGTGATTTATCCAATTTATTACTCCGTATCCCACTAAAATTGTCCCTTATTGACTTTTGAAAAGTCAATTTTTTTAAACTCGACTACGTTTATTTTAAACATTTTAAAAAAATTAAATTTTATAAAGTACATATTTCAAAACTATTTGATTGAAAGTTTTTAAAATATATTTTTCATGTTTTTATCAATAATAAATTTTAATTAATAAAGAGTCAAAGTTAAAACAATTGACCAAAAAATAGTCAATAAACGACAATTTTATTGGGACGGAGGTAACAATAGATCACACAATTATTAGGGTAAACTGTAATAGTCACTAAACTTTTAGAATACTTTTATTGTAATTACTTGCCATTAAACCATTAACAACATATAACATAACACTTTAAGAATCATAAAAAACTTCAACAATCGCTCCTCTTTTCGACTTTGTTTCCGTAATCGTTGTGCGACTTATCTTGTTGTAATGATTATTGAACAATTTTTTTTCTTCCAATTAAAACTCATGGACATCATTTTAATCTCCTCAAATTTCAACAGGAATTAAAATTTAAAACCATTTGACTTACCACTATTAATTATCAGATCAACTTAAAATTAAATTATGTTAATCTTAAGATCAAATATAACTTTATCATTGAAATGGATCATTAAATTTACTGATGGGCAAGCAAAAACATCTTTTCCAACATCAAATTAAGTTTGGTTGTTTCGGCTGTGGCTTTAAATATGTGGGATACCGCAAATAATGATGGCAAAAGTGATGAAACACTGAAACAAGAAAGGAAGGCATAGGATTAGATTTGTAGGGCTTTGAAGGGTGAGGATGGACCAAAATGGAATGGTCGCCAAATCCAAATAATAAGCTATAAAAAAGGTGCAAGGGAAAGTTGCCAATATGTGCTTGTTTCATTATGGAACCGTCGATCGTAGGGGGGTCCATGGTGACCAAGAAAATCACTCCCACCTGATTTTCTTCATATTGGTTTTTCTCTTAACTGAAAAGTAGTGGGCAACACTGCTTACTTGTCTGCATTTATGTACCCTTAAACACCGATTAGGAAGTCAATATCCATCATCCTTTGCCTATTTATGAAAATTATGTCTTTGTTTTGTTTTTATATATGTGTTGCTGTAAACATTGGTTTATAATTACAAAATTTTCAATCAGTAGCTTCCTGGAAAGATGTTAATCACGTTGTTTGTGTTAGTGGCATAATTTAGTAACTATTGTGTTAGGAATTTGTAAACATAAAAAACTAATTAAACGAAATTAACATAGAAAATATTATACACAAAAGATTAGATTCGACATTGTTCAATATTATCTACCTCCACATATGAGAAGAACAATAATCTATTATAAGATCACAAAAAATATAAATACATGATATCTCAAAACTTGATATCTTTACCAAAACTCAGTGTAAATCTCATAATGTTAAATCTCAAACCTTAGTATCTCAAATTACTCTCCTAATATTTCTACAAAATTCATCTATGCAATATGCAAATCTCAAAAGTTATAAAAACTACAAAAAGATTATATTTCTCCAAAAAATAATTATCTTATAATTCTAATGGTTAAAACATATTCTATATCTATATAAGTAAACACTTGGCCATAAAAATCCTTAATTCATAATAATTATCCTGCAAAAAGAAATAATAAATTAGTGAACTTGTTAGAAAATCCTAAGTGAGGAGCTTAGGTAATGGACGTAGACTTGGTTGAGAAGTCGAACCACTATAAATCTTGTGTCAATTGTCTATCATTTTAATCTCCTTACTCCCTAAACTCAAAAAGCCAATTCACCTTATCTTGGCAATTTTCGGTTGTTTAATTGAGCTTCATCGAATATACCATCAGGAAGTTTTCACTCAGTAACCTCCAGGTTCGAAAGAAAGGTTGCAGATGGGTCGTTCTTGTTTGCAAGCTACATAAATGCCCTATATGGTCTGAGACATGCACCATGCAACTGGTATACTAAGTTGCGGGATTTTTTGAATGGAGCAGGTTTCAAGAGCTCGGAGGCAAACAACTCATTATTTATCAAGGCTAGCAAAGAATGAGTCACATATGTGTTAGTTTATGTGGAGCGACATCATAATGATTGGAAGTAACCAAGATGAGGTAGAGCGAGTAGTGAATATTCTTGGTACAAAATTCTCGTTAAAATACCTGGGACAATGAAAGATTGTAATGTGCTCATTTCAATTAGAAACGTCAGAATATATACATTGTACATTGAGTATTCTAAGCCTAGAAATTAGGAACTAATTAGCAAAGAATAAGGCAGAATATTCACAAGATTATCGCCTTTACAAAAATAGGAGATATGTACAACTATAGAATATATTTATCAGATATTCTAACACACACCCTCAGTCGAAACGGGAGGTTCACGAACGCTGAGACTTTCCCAAAAATCTTAAAATAAAATATGAGGTAGGTCCTTCGTAAAAATATCTGCAATATGATAATGGGAAGGAACATGTAGGACTCGTACTCCGCCTTTAGCGACATTTTCCCTGACAAAATGAATGTCCATCTCAATATGTTTGGTACGCTGATGTTGTACCGGGTTTCCTGATAAATAAATGGCACTCACATTGTCACAATAAACCAGAGTAGCTTTATGAATAGGACAGTGAAGCTCAAGTAATAAATTTTGGATCCAACAAGAATCAGAAACTACATTAGCTACTCCTCGGTACTCTGCCTCAACACGGGAGCGTGACAAAGTTGGTTATCTTTTGGACGACCAAGATATTAAATTGTCACCTATAAAGACACAATAGCCGGAAGTAGAACGTCTAGTATCCGAGCATCCTTCCCAATCTGCATCAGTATAAGAAATGAACTTGTGGATTGAGGATTTATACAGATGTAGACCATAAGACAATGTACCCTGCAAGTAGCGCAGAATATGCTTAAGAGCACTCATATGCTAGTTCCTGGGATCATGCATATGAAGACAAATCTGCTGAACTGCATAAGATATGTCAGGTCGAGTAAAAGTAAGATACTGTAAAGCACCGGCCAAACTGCGGTACTTGGTGGGATCCTCATAAGGTAATCCTTCGAAGCACTGAGTTTCAGTTTGGTGTCAACAGGAGTAGGAGAAGAACTGCAATTAGCCATACCAGCTCTTTCAATGATATCTGTTGCACTGTTGTTGAGATAAAAACATACCATTAGCATTGCGGGATACAACAATCAACAAAAAGAAACTGAGAGGACCCAAGTCCTTTATAGCAAATTCAATACCCAAGAGAGCCATAAAGGGCTTTCTCAATCGATCAGATAAAGTTGTAAGAATGATATCATCAACATATAACAAAATATATGCCATATCCGAGCCCTGATTGTAGATAAACAAAGAATTATCCGATTTACTGTTAGAAAACCCAATAGTGGCAACAAAATCTGCAAATCGCTGATACCAGGCTCACGGAGCCTGTTTAAGGCCATAGAGTGATTTCTTTAGTAAACACACATGATTAGGGAGACTTTTGTCGCGAAAACCCATAGGCTAATGCATATATACTGTTTCGTTGAGATAACCATGTAAGAAAGCATTCTTGACATCTAACTGGTGAATAGGCCAAGATTTCGAAATAGCAATGCTAATAACAGTACGAATAGTAGCCGGTTTGACAACTGGACTAAAAGTCTCATCACAATCAACCCCTTGCTGATGAGTTTTCCTATCACCTACAAGACGAGCTTTATACCGCTCAAAAGAACCATCAGATTGCTTTTATGTCGAAAAATCCACATAGACCTGATTACATTCACATCCGGTGGCCTAGGTACCAATTCCCATGTTTTATTAGCAATAAGAGCATTAAATTCATCTAACGTTGCCTCTTTTCAATTTGGGTCACAAATAGCAATAATAGGGTTCTTAGGTAATGGAGAAATATTAGTGGTAGTCATGGCCGAGAAATTAGAAAAATATTTCATGTTTGGTTTGTAGATGCCATTTTTAGCTCTTGTTGTCATTTGATGAGGGGTAGGACCTTGTAACGGGGTGGGAATGGGTGTAGGCTGGTGGTCTGAGATGGGGAAGGCAACTGTACCAAGTGAGAGATTCGGCCCAGAAGAAGAAGTCCAGCTTGAGAGTGAGGAGGCAAAGATGGACTGAGAGGAATATGCCCAGCAGAGGGTGTGGGTTGCAGTGGGTTTGATGCCACATGCCTAGGAGAAGAGGTTGGGTCAGCTTGGTGCTCTAAATTAGGAGTTGGAACACTTTGGTAAGCCAAGTGATGTAAGATTGTATTATAATCCAGAAAATCATAATCGTTTTTGTGAGGCGAGTGAAGCTTAGAGAAAGGAATTTCGCGTTCAACAAATTTGACATGACGATAAATAATTATCTTTCCACTTGACATGTTATAGCATTTCGAACCTCTATGATTTGGGGCGAGACCAAGATAGACACAAGGAGTGGACCTTTCTTGCAATTTATGAATAGAGGTGGATGGGAAGAAGGAAAACATAGACAACCAAAGACACATAATTCTGAGTATATAGGATCACATTGGTATAGAACTTGAGTTTGAGACTTAAATCCTAGAACTTTGGTTAGAATGATGTTTAGGAGATATGTGGTCATCTCTAAAACATGATGCCAAAAGGAAAGAGGTAAAGAAGCATGAGCAAGTAAGGTCCGAATTATATTGTTTATGGATTTTATGTGGCGTTCGACTTTTCCATTTCGAGGTGACGTATAGGACAAGAAAGACGAGCATGCCATGATTATTAAAAACCTCTTTTAAAGTGCCATTAACATATTCTGTTCCATTGTCACATTGAAAGGTCTTAATATCACGAGTAAATTGTGTACGTATTAGACTATGAAAGGATTGGAACAAGTGTTTGACTTGAGATTTCTTAGCAATAGGAAATATCCACAAGAATTTACTGTAATCATCAAGAAAAAGAACATAATAAAAATGGCCAGATCTACTCATGACAGGCGAAGTCCAAAGATCACTGTGAATAATATCAAAAGGAGAAGTAGTGTGCGACATAGAATCATAAAACGTAACTTAGAAAGTTTCCCAAGAGGGCAAGATGAACAAAAAGTTTTACAAGCCTTATTACAATCAATAAAATTTTTACATCTAAGAGACCTAAAAACAACATCACCGGGATGTCCTAGACAGTTATGCCAAATATCATATGAAATAGTAGTAAAAGCTGAATTATTGACTGGAAGAGTGGCTTGATTAATGGAGAATAGAGGATAAAGGTCACTGGTACTGTCACATCTCACTAGTCTGGCTCCCGTATGTAAGTCATTAACGGAAAAACCAAGGGGATCAAATTCAATGGAAACTAAATTATCTTTGGTGAATTTACGGACATGTATTAAATTTTTAATCAATTTAGGAGCATGTAACACATTGTTCAAGTGAAACGGGGGGGTAAGGGCGAGGCAAAATAGTACTATCGTAACCAATAATTGGAACTAGATGTCCACTACCCACAACAATGTTATTATGTTTAATGCTCGAATTGAAATAAGAAGAAAAAAATACCTTGGTCCGAAGTCATGTGAGATGTAGCGCCGGTGTCCATGTAGAAATTTCCATCCGACTGAGAGTGGGATAGAGCATTCATCGCTGCCTCGATGTCGTATGAGCGTAGCTACTGTATAGAGATGCTGGACTGAACAGAGCTACTGCAGTATAGGCTTGAGGACGTAAGCCTAGTAGTTCAGGCCCAGTAGGACGTGACCACAATAGGAGTAGTACCGGTTTTGGGGGCCAAGATGCAGCAGGGTATGGGCATGGTGGAGGGTTGGGCCACTGAGCCAACCAAGGTGCCTATCCGGCCCATGGCTGTTGCTGTCAATTGAATGGTACAAACCCATGTTGTTGTTAGCCCACTTGGTCATTTCCATTCTTGCTCTTCCCAAAAGACTTAGTGTTCGATTTTTTTTGTTTGTTCCCCTTAGATGTAGAACGTGATGAAGCAGAGGTGCTGGAATCCGAGCCTGCAATAAGAGCGGTTTGGTTGCCGGAGCTTCCTTCCTTCGCCAAGCGATTCTTAATGGTCCGCTCCGCAAGTTTGAGACAGGATCGATAACTTTCAAAGGAGGGAAACTGTTCTTGGTTTTGAATGATATCAACCGTTCCGGCATAGGCCTCAGGCAGCCCGACCGTGAGTTTGAGAACCAATCTGTTGTTGGAGAGAGGGGCATCAACATCGGCAAGGCGGTCGACCAAGGATTTGATGTGATTACAATAGCTATCAATTGACGAGAAATTGCCGAAATCAAGGTCCACAAGTTCTTCTTCAAGGTGGGTAGCCCGAGAAGCCTTGTTGTCCTAAAACATCGATTCGAGGCGTGACCATGCCCCTTGAGCGGTGTCTTCTTTAAGCAAGATAACATGAAGGAGGTCCTTGGAGATAGTCTCATAAATCCACCGGAGTACCGCGACATCAAGACGTTTCCACAAGGCCAGGTCGGCGGCTTTGGATGCAGCATAGGTGGTGATTTCCTCTTTCTCTGTAGGAGGGATAATGTGGTGATACAAATCATGAACCCTAACAAGAACCTTGAATAAGGCCGCCCAAGAATGATACATACCGTGCTATATATCCAATGTGATAGGGATTAGGGACTTGACATTGGTTATAGTGAGAGCGGGATGAAACTTAGGTGATGCGGCCATTTGAGAGTGCAGCGGAAGAAGAAAAAGATGGGGAAAGATAGGTGGTTGTTAGGGAGATTTTGGATCGTAGAAGGCTGATACCATGAAAGATTGTAATGTGCTCATTTCAATTAGAAACGTCAGAATATATACATTGTACATTGAGTATTCTAAGCCTAGAAATTTGAAACTAATTAGCAAATAATAAGGCAGAATATTCACAAGATTATCGCCTTTACAAAAATAGGAGATATGTACAACAATAGAATATATTTATCAAATATTCTAACAGACAACTAGGTTTCTTCCTGGGCATTGAAGTAAAACGTGTTGGCAGTGCAATCTTCTTAAGCCAAAAGAAGAATGTGATAGAGCTTTTAGCCAAGACTGGTATGACTAACGCTGCCTCAACCCCTACTCCTATGATAGCTTCAATTAAGCTTTCTAAGGATGGAGGAAACCCTTTGGCTGATGCAAGGAATTATCGAAGTCTGGTGGTGGGTTCAATGCTGTATGCAAGTCACACGAGACCTGATATAGCATATAGTGTGAATGAATTGGCTTAATACATGCACAACCCGTGTGAACAACACTGCATCAAAGTGAGTGCTACAGTACTTAAATGGCACACTCAACTATGGTCTCACTTTCCTCTTAGAATATATTCATTTCAGCTAACTGCTTTTGCATATGCTGATTGGGGAGCGAATGTGGATGACAGACGATCCATCTTAAATAACTATGTGTATTTAGGGGAAGCTTGGTTATATGGAGTTCAAGGAAGCAGAAGACAGTGTCAAGGCTGAGTATAAAAGCTTGGCGGAGGTGGCTTCAGATGTAATGTGGTCAAATGCCTTGCTAAGTGATATGCAGGTTGAGCTAGGGTTACGCCAGTGATTTGGAGTGATAATTTCAGTGCAATAGCCGTGAGTGCTAATCAGGTATACCATTCAAAAACCAAACACATTGAGCTCGGCATACATTTTGTGCGTGAAAGTTGCAGCAGATAAACTGAGGATAAACTATTTGCCTTCTGATCACCAGGTTGTGATTGCTTGACTAAAGCCCTGACCAAAGAGTACTTTTCCATGTTTCATAAGAAGCTGAGTGTTGTGGCGTTTAGAAAGGTTGAATAGTGGAAAGAGTAGGGAGCATGTCGAATATGAAGTTGTTGTCAGCTCAGCAGGTTGTTAGGGTTAGGTTCAAAAGTTGTTACTAGCCTAGTGCAGTTACAAGTTGGTTATTCATGTAAACTCTTGTATAAAAAGATGATAGTGCACTCTATGTAATCACACTTATCCAATATCAATTACAAGTCATATTATTCTTCATATTTTCTAATGAATTACAATAAAATAGAATTTATTTATTTTATTGAAATTTGAATAAATATCTAACAATCTCTAATAATGAATATCTTGTAGGAGATCCATATTTTTAACCAATTTTTTTTGATTAGTTGAATTTATTAATAAATTATGCTTGCAATTTCAAACATATCTTAAGCATGGAATATCTTGTTAGGAGATCCATATTTCATTGCCATCATTTTCCAATTTGATTTCAAATATTTGTTAAGCATAAGGATTTGTATGGCATGAATTGGATTTCATATCATATTTGACGTGAGAAGGAGAGATTAGTAATATTGTGATTTCATAATTATCATATTCAACTGAAAGTAATATTAATAGATATACTAATAATGATTTTTTAACGTCTTAAATGAGATTAAAAATAACAGCATGTCTAATAGTAAAAACAACCCAAAAGCATGCATTACATTTTTATTGGAGCTTATATAAACCTAGAAACTATATAATCACCATAGTTAATACTAATCTTTTAATATATATATATATACACTTGTTTTTGTCCGAGTTTAAAATAATATATTTATTTATTTATTATCATTATTATTTTTATTAATATTTTCCCCCTTTCTTTAGGCCCGTGTTGAACCCCACTATCCCACTTCGTGGTTCTGTGATTCCTGGGCCGTGGATGAACGTGGAACCGTTGAACTGCTTTATATGCAGCTCTGTTCGCCAACAACAGGGGGAAAGCATTTCGTGGGAAAAATGTAGAGGGAAGTCAATTTACCACGGAATCTTTCGACACTTTTCTGAGTTTCTCTATACATTTTCGTAGTTTTCTTCTTCTTCCAACGGCTGCCATGGTTTTAAGTTCATACTCGAACTGGGAAACTGATTTCCACAGCACTAACGATGAAACAGTTCAAGCTGATCATCAACAACAATACTGGGATCCATTCGAGCTGTATTTTGGTTTCATTGATCATTACATTGAACTAAACAGCAGTTTTCTTCAACCACAAAAAGCTCGGGAAAGCTTCAGGAGGTTCCGAAATGGCCTCGAAGAGAGGTGGAAAGGTAGCTGTGCCAGCCAAAACCAAGATAAGGTTGTCAATCCATTGTTCGAGAAGCGTCCAAAACAGTTCGGTATTGGAGGGGCTTTGCCACCGAAGAAGGATCTGCATCGTTTTGTGAAGTGGCCTAAGGTTTTTCGTATTAAAAGGAAAAAGAGGATCCTTGTGCAGAAAGATGGAGGTCCCCTACTGCATTGTCAAGGGAAAATCACGTTTGGGATCGAATGTTCACAGGAAAACTGCTTCCGTCTTATGCTTAACAACGGTTAGGAACGAGGATAAGTTGGACTTCAGCAAAATCCTCGAGGCCATCAAGGTAAGATTACGCCACACCTGCAATGTTTCCCAACTTCCATTTAATTTCTGTTCAAATTACACATGGATTTAAACTTGTTCATGGGTTTAAAACCCCTTTAAAGTGCTTTGAAGTAAGGTACTGCTGAAGTGAATGTTAGGGTGAAAAAACCCTTTAAAATATGATATATAAGTAGAGTCCATGGGTTTAAAAATACAGACCCATTTGCTTCATGTAACCACGTGCATGTGGTTTTTATTTTTGTTATTGTTAAAATGGTAACCACGTATATGTGGTTTTTATTTTTGTTATTTTATTTATTATTTATTATTATTATTTTCATTAACTTTTATTAATCTTTGTTATTTATTTTATTTATTTTATTATTATTATTATATTAATAACGCATATCAGGTAAGATGGTGTTCGATCCACCTAAATATTTTTAAAATGATCGGTGGCTACTCTAACCCATTATTTCAATTCGAAACCCAATTCCGAACCCACTCGAAAGACGATTCCGACAATATATATATATATATATATATATATATATATATATATATATAAAACACCGGTGGTTATATGACCATAATATAATACTGGGTAATTATTGTAATGTCAGAGGGATTAACGTTGAATGTCAAATAATTAAGAGTTAGATTTAAACAGATATAACTTTATACTTAACCCAAATAATAATAAAATATCAAAAAAAAAATTCAAAGCACAAACTACACCTTCCCATGTGCTTCCTCTATGATTGCAAATTAAAAAATTAATTAAGTACGGTTTTGGTAGCTATATGGTGAAGAATTTGACATGTAAAAGCCTAGCAATTAACAAGGAAATAATAGGGATTCAGCTATTTCATTGTATAATTAAATCTTAAAAAAGAAATATTAATTTATTAACTCTAAAGAGTCTCCTCTATGATATTTTATCAAGGCTCCTTGCAAATATTATATGATTCTTTAGGAAGAAGCTTTCGATTAAAGTACTCTTAAAATAAATGAAAAATCACTGAAGTTTGCCATAGGCTTGCCCTAGTGTTTCCCTAAACCAATGATAAAATTCAAAATAAACCCTAAGCCCTAAATTCTTAGGCACATATATATATTTTATCAATGCATATTTGAATCAAAGCAAAGAATCGCTCGTATGAATCAAAGGAGAGGTGCAGGGTGTGAATATTTGTGGGCTAAAAAGGTCATCTGCTTTCTGATAAGGATGGATTCAACAGTAAGTCTCTGAATGATAGCTTTGCTTTAATTAATCCAAAAATAAAAGAAAGAAAAAGGAGGAGGAATTTAACTTTGGATGATGACAGGAAATATCAAATCCGTGATTTGCAGGGCAAGGCCAGAAAGGGCAGCTCACAGGCTAGTATTTTATTCCTACTTTAAATTAACATAGTCCAAATATAAATTAAACTCATGTTTAATTTTGACGACAAGATTTTCTCAAAAACACGTGTTTTAAAAACGTAAATCAATATCAATCATTTTGATTTATGTGTGGTTGATTATCTATAAAATCATTTTTATTTTTATTTTAAAAAATATATAATTTTATAAGTTTGAAATATAAATTAAAATAAAAAAATATATTCAGAAACTGATTACGTATAGAAAATGTTAAAATATTTTCATAATGACCAAAATTAACCTCTCGTTGATTATGTGTTGTCTAAGTTTACTAGATAGTATGTTTCATGCTTTCGAGCACGACTCTTTAAGCTTTAAACCTGCATGCATGCATGCATTTTTTTGGATTTCTAATACATCCTAAGCGATGTTTTGGCCCATTTGATAATGCCAATATTCAAAATTTTTGGCCCAATAGGGTAAATGGGTAAATACAATATTTTCTACAGTGTTCACGGAACTCACCACATTAAGATGACGAGTTTCTATAAAATATAATTTTTTTATTAAAATTTATCACATCGATGTAAAAAATTTAAATAAAAGAATATTTTTTATTAGAACGAGTTCCATGCATTATAGAAAATATTATAGATCCCAAAATAAAAGTGTTTGTGTCTATTTTGTAATTTTTTTCGGCTGTCATATTGGGCCTTAAAAACCCATTTTCCATTGTTGTTGCGTCCCCTTAAAAAATAGTTCAGGCGATCCGGTCCGATGGAAGTTTTGAGAGAAAATTTTCCGTCAATGTGTTTTCATATGAAAATTAAATATTTTTTGTCTAGTCATATGCGTAGATGGTGGGGGCGTAGGTGGAAGTGTTTAAGACCAATTTTTTAAAATCGGGCTAGACCATGAACCGATGAAGGTATTGATTTACTGGTTCAACTGTGATTAAACCGTAGTTGAACCAGTTTATATAAAATAATATATTTTTTAAAATTTTACATAATATTCAAAGCAATATATATATATATATATATAACACTCTTTTTAAGTTCACAACATTAAAAGGTATAAAAATATCACAAGTCATATTATAATATCAAGTGAAACAAAATGATTCAAATCAAGCTGGAATGGAAAACAAGTAAACATTATTAGCATGAACTCAAACAAACACAAACAGAAACACTAAAAAAAATACTTGTGATTAAAGAAAATACTTGTGGCTGAGACATGGTAGGAACCGAAGCGAAGATGATGTCGTGATTTTGTGCGGAAGATGAGTAGAGCGCACCGGTGATGGAGTAGGTTGCTGATGACGGTGAGGGAGTATGATGTCAGAGACGGAACAGTGATTGAGAAAACCAAAGTGGAAAATGGCTTAACCGAGATGCAAAATCAGAAAATAAATTTGGGGCTAAAAAAATCATAACAAACGACGTCGTTTGGTTTAATTTAAAAAAAAACAGATCCATGTGAACCGCTTGAACCGCCGGTTCACATCGGTTTCGCCGGCTCCCAACCGGTTCTACTGGTTCTTTAGCGGTTCATTGCAAAACTAGTTTTGGAGACTGACCGGACTGGACAGGCAACTGGTTCCTGGTTCAACCGGTCGGTCTGGTTTTGATAACATTGTTTAAGACTATTAATATTTCATTTAGTTTTTTTTAATTAATTGGTATTCGATCTATTGACCGACTAATTTAGATCAGGTACTACAGAGGCGAGGACGACTTTCCCAACACAGTTTGCTCCATTCGCAAGCGTCAGGATTCAAACCCCTGACCTTACTTAAGGGACCTAGTGTCTCATTCCACTAGACCAACTGATTGTTAATAATATTTCATTTAGTTTTTAATATAGTTATTGATATTTAATTTATATCTTAAAATTTTAATTTTTAATTCTATTTCAAAAGTATAGTGTCTTATCTTATTAAATAAATGGATAAATTTCATAATTAATTTATTTTTTATTGCTATTAAAAAATATTTTTATTGATGAAATTGTTTTGGATCAAATTAATAACCCAAGTAGGTTGAGTTTGTATATTTGACAATTTTAATATTCACTTTCTTTTCATACAAGTTCCGTTTGTAAGAAGTTTTGAAGAAACTTCACTAAACGACACTCTTACGCAGGCTGCAAATTGGGTTATGTAACGAAATTGTTTGTCTTGGAGAAAATCAGCTGGGGCTGACCATCATGAGTCTTAACAAATACGTAATAATTCAATGTAATATACCATTAGTTTTTACAATGTTGTAAGAGCTAGAATCAATGAGGTAACTGGTTGTCAATGAAGCACACCATCTCAAAGCATACGACGTCGTCTCCTTCAGCCGCATCGGAATGTGATAGCAACATTTCATCCCCTATAGGTAGCCCCCACGTCTCCATCATTAGTTTTGGCGAAAGGGAAGGGGGTTTGGAGTAATTAAGGTTTATACGTACTGCTTGAATTAATGAATGACATCGTTTGACACTTATCTGCACTTCAATTGCATGTTCACTCTATATCATCTACACACCCTATTGAGGCTCAAGATAAGACAGTATGGATTCTGTTTCGAGACATTTCCCCAAAATTTATCAGAAATCTCATTAAAATTTCATTTGCTCTACACCATACCCATCGGACATCAGCCTCTAATTACCAATTTTAAAAAATAGATGATACTGTTCGAGAATTATTTTAAATTCAAATAACACAATGTACAATTTATGGAACAAGAAGAATCGGATTGAGATTTGAGTCTCACAGTTGGCTCTTGATATTTGAAAGCCGGGAAGAAAACATGTTTAAAGATATTCGATATCAAGCTGAGTACAGCAGCTAAGTTATTCCCCTTTCAGCTGTATGGGGTATAAAGCATTGATCTTGTCAAGACAAGTATAAACCATTAATGACGGTTGCAATTTTCAGTCATATGTTTTTATTTCTTAAAATTGAATTGATTTTCGTAAAACTGGTTATATGGCCAATACCCAGATCCAACCCAATTGAACTGAAAATATAAAATATAAGAATAATTTTATTAGCTTTATTAATATTTAAATTTTTTAATTAATATTATAATGTATGATACTTTATATTATTGCCAGTTATGCGTGTTTATAATTTTTTGGAGAAAGGGTACACGAGGTATTTGTACTTTTCCAAAAAAACCTAAGGTGGCCTTCGAGTTTTTTTTCCCCACTTAATGTGGCCTTCGAACTTAAAAAAAAATCAATGTACATCTTTGACCAACGATTTTCGTCGTTGACCGTTATTATGCTGACATATCAATTTACGGTGCTGATGTGCCAATCTAAATTTATTGGTAACATGGTTGATGATGTGACAGATGCACTAAATTAGTTTTTTCTTATGAAGTTCGAGGGCCAAATTGATTAATCCTATTGTGCCATAAATTTATTAATCGAGGTTATGGAATCAACGCATAGTTTCATAAGGCAAAGATCGTAAAACTAATCCACAATGTGAAACCATCCAAAACCCCTTCGAACCATTCATATTAGAAACATATGAAAACAAGACAGCCAAACCAGCAATGTCTCACTTTAGTATGTTACCCAGTGTTCCACATACACCAGTAAACGTGCTCAATTGGTATTCTGCTATCAGTAGTGAAGTAATCATTTAAT